GGTCTTTCTGTTTAGTTTGCCTCTATGTTCTGACTCAGAGCTCTAGACCAACTGTGTCTAAACTAAGGAGGCTCTTCAGTTTGGAGGATACGATTCTTATTAAACATAAAAATAAATCTTAATGCTATGGACTTTTAAAGGCTGAGGAGGCCAGCTGGATTCACCTGTTCTGAAAAGGCCACCACAGACCATTACGTACATCATTTTGATTAGTTTGGGTTGAGCAAAAACATTTCTTCTGAACTCGCCCAACTTGATTTTTGTTGACGTTAGCTTTTTAAGTTCTGTGACTCTGCATAGACTTTTTTTTTTTTGATAATACCTCCCATGAAACATTTCTGATCCTGAATAAATGGCAATGTTCTTTAAAAAATATACAATCATCAGGGTTATGGCATAGCAAGCCCTGCTATACTCATGTCATTTTTAATGTCCCACATTCATGAATTATTTTGATTGTTTGTAACTAGATACATGATATCTTGCTGTGTTTTTATTGTGAATAACATTTTTGTCTTAAGAGAGAGTCCATACATTTTTTCCGCTCATTTTAACCTAATAACCAAGTCCTATTCATCAAAACCAAGGCTGCCCGGATAAACAGGTTTCAGACAGCAAAAGAACTGTGAAGGCTGGTAACTCCTTCATGTGAAGGTACAACCTGAAAGGCAGTGACCAGCAAGCACATTGCCAAGCACAGGTTACTGAGCTAACACAGATTAGTGATATCTCATAATAGTTCTAAAAACTGTCAACCTTAGCATGTATTATGTGAAAGATAAGGAGAAATACACAGGCCAACAAAATAAAGGGACCACTTAGAGCAGAGTTCAATTAAATGATGTTGGTTACAGAGCAGAGATACAGGATTGTAAAATGGGGGAGGGAGACCTGGAAGTGCCCCATGATTTTTTCCCACGGATTTTTTTTAAGATACTTGAAAAGTATAGATTTTAGAACATGCTCTCTATATATACGCTTATATATATATATATAAAGAATTCACAAATATCATGGTATGGAAACTACTTGAAAGCATTACTGAGATAAGAGACACCTTGGTTGCATCTGCCCAGCTGCAACTTGTTAGAGGGTCCTGGTGAGAGAGGAAAAGCAGGGAAAGCCCAGAACATCATTGCCCAAAAGCTCCAGACCACCTCTGCCCTCTCCCACAGTGCAGGTGGGCACAGGGCAGGAGCAAAGAAGCACAGATTAACTGTTAATGGACTTACCTTCTTGCAACACAGCTGAATCTTTCCTAAGCGTGGAAAATTCTACATGGATCCATTACTACTGATGCATGAAGAAAAATCAGGCAATGATGGATAGGTTTGCACAGTTGTATTTCTAAAAAAGCATACATAAAATAACATGAAATGGTTACTAATCTTTCTAAAACACTATTTCAAGAGGTATGCACATAAAGACCATTAAAGATATGTGGCCACCATACTTCATTCAAAGCCTATAGCAGCACTTAGAGATAAAGCAGTAGGACACAAAACTGCAAGTCTCAGCTGGACTCTCTTAGTCCTTTTAAGATATTGACCTTCAGCACCCTGTAGGAAGCAGGGAGGCAAATGGCATGGAATACAGCAGCGGTCTCGTCTCCCCTGAGAACCAGCGAGCATTTCCATGCCGTTATGCACAGCGCCCAAACAAACGTTCCTGTTGGGTGACCAAACCTCACTGCCTGCTTGAAACCAAAGACTTTTTGCTGCCAGAGCTATCCTGAGAGAGCTGTATCCCAAGAAAGCTTACACCAGGGAACACGAAGCAGCATTTTACACCTGCTATTGGAACGCTGTTCAGAAACACTGCAATAACCTGGTATCAAAAGAGTTGTAATCCTTAGGGTAGAAGTTTTGCTAAATAAAGTGCAGTGAATTTTTATGCATCACACAAGCCGGTTGGGGTCACTGAAATGAAACCAACTGGCCTCTCTGTAAAAGCAAAAAAGATTTGAAGAGCTCTCAAGTGACACCTTTTTTCATCACATAAGGGTAGGACCCCGTGACCCTCTAAGGCATAAAGTCTATCCTCAGTGAGACTAGGGAAAAGTTTTATGGAGAAGCATCACCTAGTTTAAATGAAATTCTGCAATAACTGGGATGAGATTTCAGGATGACTATCTTTGAAAAATGTTCTGAGTAGTTCTGCCATCAGTGTCTGCATTTTCGAAATTCTCCAGTCTTGCTCCACTGCCACCATAAAGGTTATTTTTTGTTAAGCATTAAGGATGTTCTGGTTTCGTGCAAGTTCAAATGGATGACCTCTAAAACCCTGTGGAAATGAGAAAACTACAGTAACATTTTTCTGTGCTTAATATACATAACAAATGTCCTTGACTGGCCTACATGCCTAAGTAGAAACATAACTGTGAGGTTTGAAGTGCTTCTTCCTTGGGTAGAGGATAAAATTTTCCAGGGAAATAACCCTGGCTCTCAAACCCTTCGGCTGTAATTTGCATAATATCAAAGTTTTAGAAAGTCTTTAAAATAGAAAACCTACAATGTTTTAAACTTCCATAAACCTTTTCTGATAGTAGAAACTGCTCAAAAAGCACATGGATATAATGGTACCACAGAGCAAGTTTCTGTATCACATCTCAGCCTCTAACTATATTCCTACTAGAACTCTATAAAACAAATAATTTTTCAGTGTCAGACTGCTCAATAGGAGAATTTTGATTCTGTCTTTTTATACAAAGTCAAATACATAAATTCTCCTTTCAATGAAAAATTTAAATTGTCAAAATTTTAAGATAATATATCGTCATCTATTGCATTCAACAGCAACAATACAAAAGCCTTAATTTAATCCTCTGCTAGTTACTTCTAACTGTGAGCACTTACCTGTGTGTTTTTCCTACTATATATTTTATGATTGTCCACCTGACAAGCAATAAAAGGGAACAAAGGATAGTTCAAAGCAATCTGTAGCACCATCAATCAACAGAAGCAAATTCACATAAATAATCCAAACCAGTGAAGGGGAAAGATACAGGTTTTGTCAAATATTTTTATGTTTGTTACTTTTAGCATTTTTCATACAACAGAAATGTATGATAGTCCTCTGCTGTAATAAAGTAGAGCCTGGTTTTAAAATTCTATGCTTGACTTCCTAAAATAATTTTATTCTGCTAATGTAACAATTCAGCATAGCATAGGTGAACAAGCCAATCATTCCCAACAGCAAAGATTTCAAAGTAAATGGAAAACCCAACAAGGAAATGCTAGTAATTTTATTCATACAGAAGCTGACAAAGTCTGCATTAGCAGGATTATGGCGTAACAGAAAAGTCTCTACTCCACCATAAATTACAGTTTGCATGGCTTAGCTGGGAAATACAGCACCCAGATTCAGCACCCCAACCAATTCATCCTGCTCTCCTAGTTGGAAACATAAACCTCAGTGTAGAAGTCTTCAGACCTGCATACAAAATAAGATATAAGGTGATCGTACCTCCAATTTGATACTGGGCATCTGCAACTTAGGTGTTCGGGAACTCAAAATTAGAGGAGAGCTACCACTTGCAAGACCTTAAAGTCAAGTTCCTAAGCATTAATTCAGCCCATGGAGCCAAACACATCCACAGAACCATCCTTGAAGCTCACACTAGAAAGGTCTGGCCAAGAGTTTAATCAACAGGAGATATCCTGCCAGGAGATACAGACAATTCCTTGATTCTTGGATCTGGAACAACTACCCTTCAAGATAGAGTGTATTTTTTTTCTTCTTCCTTCCCTTTGGATTTATATAATTCCTTTGAATATATGAATAGGAGTTCTCCATAGTTTACACAATGCATTCACCAAAACTAAGGAATGATTCAAGGAACAAAAAGGGAACAGTGAATCCCAACAGATCCTCTTTCAACAACAAAAGGCATGGGTTTTTTTTACAGCCTCATGCTGCGCTGAGCCCCGCACAAGGTGCATGTATGTAACAAAACACAATTTAAATGAGAACCCAAGGATTTATTGTCATTGGTCACCACTGAAAATAGACAAGTATGCAAGACAAACCCTAAAACCACGGGCCAGGCACTCATAGCCAGCCTCATAGTACTGAGATCCTGCAGAGCTGATACAAAACCTGTGGCCTTATCCTATAATAGTGCCAATATTGTATTTATTGGATTAAGGGCTATACCAGTAGCCAGGTCACTCCCTGACAAAGGTAACATGCTGACTAGAAACTCCTTCATCTGAAATAAAGCACAGATGCTGCAAATCCCTGGAACGGCACTCCAACAACGTAGCATAAAATAGTACCAGCTTTACTGGAACTTCCACCTGACCCACAGTGGCAGCTTCCAGACTTAATGTCATTTGAGTGCTGGCTTTTGGGCAGTGGATGGAATTTAAGGGACCCCAAGCTTCACTGGGGCTGCTGTTTAGCTTAGCAGGACACAGAAGGCTCCAATCACATTCAAACATTGAGGGAACTTGAAAATTGGAAAGGAATATCCCTAATGAATTTTTAGCTCCTCCAAGATTAGCCACTTGGTGGAGTATCAGCTTTTTGGGTTAATTTCTTACATATGGGTGTTTAAATTTTACTTATGTTGTTTCAGACATTAAAACAGGCTTCCTACATTTAATGCCACAGAACCTAAATTTGAAGAATGACTTCCCTCAGCTCCCCGCACAACGAACAGAGGCAGGCAGATCCACCAGAAGCAAGTAATTTTGATCATCAGAACTTAATGACTGGAATTACCATACAAATACAGTTAACGAGAAAATACCACCAACTTTCATTTTGCACTTTATTTATTAAGAAACAGATAAAAGTAATCTTAAAATGGCATAAAGAAATTATACAATTTGAACATCATCAAAAGAGCAAATTAGACAAAAAACACCCAATCTGTTGGAAGTAATTTTAATTCTTATCCTTCAACATGCCCTATATAGTATTATTCTAAAGCAGAAAAAGAGAGATGCATTTACAACTTCAATATCTTTATTTATTTTTTAAAAATCTGTCTATGCAAAGCACTAAATGCTTTTGTCTTCTAGGTATCCAAATGCATATTCCTTATTATAAGGAAGAATTTGGACAGAGAAGGGAAAAAAAAAAAAAAAAGGCTGCAAAGCTGCTTAGTCTTCAGCAAAATATTCCTCCAGTCCCTCCAGTTCTGCATCAGTTGCTGTGTTGGAAGAGGTAGGAGTTGAATTTGAATTTGTGCTTTCTTGACCACTACTTTTCTGCTGAGAGTTTCCCACATGACTTGGCTCTTTCTTTACTTCTCTACCACCGCTTAGTAACTTTTGACTTTCTGCAAAATACTGATTAGGATGATTCAAGGAAAATCCGATGTCTTCAACCTGCACATAAAACGCAAGAAACACTATATTATTCTATTTATCTCAAAAGGTCACTTTTAATATTCAAGAATATATCAACTGGTGATGTAGCAAGCAAGGCAGCAGTTTGTCAATACAAGTAACCTGACAAATATTATCACGTCACAGATGTATTTTCATCACAAAATTTCTGATCTTGTCACATACATGCAAATCACATACAAGATTTTAGTAAACATTTTTAGTAAAGTTAAAAATATATATATAAAAACAATATAGGTAAATTCAGGACAGAAATTCAGGACTACTATAACCTTAAAGCTGCATTTCCCTACCAAAAGGAGGGACTGAGAGAAGCCTAGAGTCCTTCTCTAGAGGAGAAGGACTCCTCTAGAGTCCTAGAGAATAGGAGAGGTATAAAGAGAATAGAGAATAAATGGTAGAGAATACCATTCTCTTAATGGTAGAGAGAATAAATGGTAGAGAATATAACTTATTACTATTAATAACGATCCATACAATATAAACCTAGGTTCTAAATATAAATGTTGCTGTGAATGGAAAACTTGATCTCTCTTCCTAATATTCCCCAGAAGCTGCAAATACAATTAATATTTTACAAGGCAGTAGGCTCTGATAGAAGGCCAGTAAGATTAAGGTCATCTCTGTTCCATCAGGACCAAGATCAGCACTCTGAAACTTCACAGGATGCACAGCCAAGACCAAATATACATATATATGTATGCATATTTTTTTCCAGTGGAGAAGAATATCGAAAACTAGCAAGATGTACATATATCTATTGCTCCTTTCTACTGGAGAAAGATTCGAGCCAAATACTGCTTTTATACAACACTGGAAAAATCCCCAAACCTGGGATGCAATAAACCAAGGAGGACTAAGAGCCCTGTATTGGTAGTTTTCTACTCAAGTTATTCTCCCTTTTTGCTGAAAGGTGGGGCTGATTCAAGCACAGTGCCTGTGCAAACACACAGAACATCACTTGAGGACACAGACTGCGTCTCATTCAGCACCAAAACCACACCAAGTTTTCAGGCATTGTGAACCAGAAACAATGTTCTTTCTAAAGGGAATCCTGATTAAATACATAACCACAGCATATCTCATCTCTATCAAAAACATGGCTACATAATTTAAATTTTACATAATTTAATTCAGCCATGAAAAATATTAACAATTACCCCCACTGAAAAATATCTTAAAAAATGAGTGACAGGCTTAGAACGCTAATTTGGGAGTGCTCCCACAAAAAAGCACATAAAAAACACACTGAATTTCATTTCAATCTTATCTGAACGAGTTCCATAGATAGCTTTCATCCATACTCTTAATTTCCAACACATGAGAACTAAATTACTTCTTCCCACCAAAAGGGTTTAAAAATATGCAGTACAATGAAAAACTAGCTTTCTTAGAAGAAACTCTTAATTAGCTCTATTTTTTTATCTTAAAAAAGAAAGAACAAAAACACTCAAACACTCAGTTTTCCTTAGGCCATTTTAGGATTCATTTTGTAAGTCTTATAAATTTGTGCTAAACTACTTCCTCCCCAGCAAACTAGAACAAGCTGTAGAGGTGGCTCATTGCAGGAATGGAGCCTCCAGCAGCGCTTTCAGAGATGACCGAAGGGATTTGGCAGACTTTTTTTTTTGGTTAAAAAGATGTATGTAATGTGATTCTATGCACCACTTCCTTTAATTTGAAGACCACTAAAAACTCTGCTGGATTAAGTATACACAGAACTGTTTTAATTAAGAGAATTCTGTCCATTTGTTCTACCATCTTTGAGACCCTGAAGAAAGACCAAGTTTTGTTCATAACCATCATTTATGATATTGTGATGAATCAGTTATTTTTGTCCTGCGTGCTTTTGAACAAGGGTCAGTGAATACTCCCCTGACTAGAAAGAACCTGCTCTGGCTGTAATAATGAAAATGAGCTTGAGCACAAAAAATGGAGCATATACAAATTTCCTTGCTGTTTTAAGTTAGACTGCTCGTGCTACTTTTAAACAGTTTTACAATGCTGTGTAAATAATGCTGATTAAGTTACACCTATTTTAAAAGCTGCTTTATTAATTTTGGTGTAAGCATATGAAATCTAGACTACCAGAAGCAGAGAAGCTAGATTTCTAAGTTTTATACATTCACACATGTAAATCCATCTGGAATCCACCACGTCCAAAGAAAAATGCATTTTCTGTGCAATCAGAAATTTAAGCTTGTAACATTTATTGATTCAAGCAGAACAGCTTGTCACTTCAGACAGAACCATCTATTGCAACTAATAAATGATACTATTGCAAGACTTTTCTTAGATTCAATACATTTTGCACATATTGACCTTCACAAACTCTAGTTTTATACTTCTGTGACAGCAAATGCCGCTTTGAAATAAACTGAAGCAATTATTTTGTAGTTGTAATATTTTGGGGGTTTAACCAAGAACTTTAAGTGACAGCTGATAACAGTACAGCTGATATTACAGAAAAGCTATGAGGAGCAATCACACTACTACAGTGAAGAGTATGTGTTAGCCCTATCTAACTGGTGAGGAAGCAATCTCTGGCCTTGCTTCCTAAGTCCTCTCCCCTAACTGGAAGGGGTTAAGAGGACAACTACTACTCTCTTTTAAATAAAACAGACACTAGCATGAGCAGCTCAGAAGCAGATACTTGAAGTTAAATGATGTTGGACTTGTCTATATCATCTCACATTCTTCTCTGACCGAAACTCCAGGAAAGAGGTTCGTTCTGATTTTATCAGTGTTGAAGCCATGGTACTGCTTTCTGCTGAATACGATTCAGTAAAATAAGCTGACTTCATTGAAGTTACGTAATGGACTACAGAGGAAAAAAAAACAATAAACCAGATAAAATTCAAAGCACTATTGTCAGAGGCCATTCACACAACTTTGGAAACCAGCAAGAGGGGGTGAGAATCCTGAACATACAGCATTCTTCCCTGGAAGGCATGTTTACTGCTGTGGACAGTGCTCCTACATGCTCCACTGGTAACCATCCATCCGCATGTGAGAGGGTCTTCGCAAGAGGATTTAGAAAATATTAAAGTCAGAGAATCACAGAACAGTTGAAGTTGGAAGGGACCTCTAGCGATCATCCAGGCCAACCCCCCTGGTGGGTTTGGAAGATCTCTAGAGAAGGAGACTCCACAACCTCTCTGGGCAGCCTGTTCCAAGCTTCTGTCACCCTCACAGGAAAGAAGTTCTTCCTCACATGGAGGTGGAACGTCTCTGTGTTTCAACTTGTACTCATTACCCCTTGTCCTGTCGCTGGCCACCACTGAAAAGAGTTTGGCCTCATCCTCTTTACGCTCTCCTCTTGGGTACTTGAACATATTGATCAGATTTCCTCTCAGTTTTCTCCACTAAACAGGCCCAGCTCGCTTAGTCTTTCCTCATACAATAGATGCTCCAGTCCCTTAATCCCCTCCGTGGCCCTACGCTGGACCCTCTCTAGAAGCTCCATGTCCCTCTTGTACTGGGGAGCCCAGAAGTGCACCCAGTATTCCAGGTGCAGCCTCATCCCAAGTGTACAAAATATACTTTTCTAGCAATGAAAAAGCAGCCAGCTTGACCTATTTTTACTACCTGGGGTTAGTAAACTATGAGGTTAGTTACCTATGAAGACCTAAAATCTTTGAGACAGCAGTACCTTTACAAAGCTCTTCATCTAGAAAAGTTTATGTTTATTCTTCCAAAACAAATAAACAAAAACACCACCATGGTGCTCATTAAGGAAGGAAGGCCTGCTATTATGCTATTAAAAGAATTGGGCTTGTGGCATGGAAAGCTGTGATATAAATATTACATCAAATTTACATATAATTTATGCAGGTTTTATCAGAATAGTTGAAAGTTGAACGATAGAGGACCCAATCATAATGCTTCCTCTTGCCTTTGGAATATTTTGGTGACCTTCAACATAAAAGCTCTGTTTGATGACGGTTTCATTTCCAAATGAAATGAATAAAACCGGAACAAGAATAGGAAAAAATAAAGCAAAATTTCTCACTGAAGTAGGAGACTCATCAGCTGCAAAGCAGACATTTTATACAAATAAAGCGGCACGGAGATATTCCTTCTACCACAAGACTTAAAACGCACATTCTCTTGGAATTTTTCATAAAATACAGACAATTTTCTTAAAACGCAATGGACTCCTAAGGACTGATTTATTTTTAGGTTAGTGTTCATCTTCAGCTCCACAGTCTTTTTGGGTAAATATTTCTACTGACTTAGCCTTGCCTGGGGCATATACTAGCTGTATTTCAAATTATATTAAAAAAAAAAATTTAAAAACAGGATATTGAAAGCTTAAATGCTTGGAGGGAAAAAAAAAAAAAAAATACTATTCATGTTTCCAGGATGCAAGCATAGCCTTTCACATCTTGTAAGACACAGGATATTAATAAATAATATATAAACCTTTAGGTCATTACAAAAGCATTTGACATATATTTGAAATAACTGAAGTGAAAATTAAATGGACAGGTAATGCCAATAATAGATGTTAAAAGTGCCAAGAAACTCTGCATTTCATTCATGATTTCCAAGGTTTTCCTAAAGACAAAGACACGGATTATAGTACAACAAAAATTAACAGGTACTTACATCATGTGTCAACTCAAAGTACTTTTGACAGGCCAGCTGGTAATGCATGCCCTTCACTAACTCCAGGATCTGTACAAAGAGTAAAAAAGCATAAAGGATTCAGAAGTAGCACACATTTTAAACCACAGAATTCTAGATCTTAACTGATATTTTACAATTTACTGTGACATGGTATTTTGCAAAACAAAAACATGCATGCAGTACCTCTGAAAACTTCATGATGCATGACATTTGTGTATCCTACTAATAACTGATAACATTTAGAGGTACTGTAGGTCTTTAAATGCACCTTGTCTATATTATAAACAAAAAAATAAACACAGGAAGATATACCTGTTCCCTTACCTGTAATTTCTTCACCCTTAACTTCAAAAGGAACTTTAATATATATTTTCATAATAATTCTGACAGTTATTGTCAAACTATCATATTGCAACATCTCTTCTATAATTGCAGATATAAATCTAGTAACTCAAGTGGCTGAAGCATGAAGCAATCAAGTGCACTATTTCATATTTTTGTTTTCCACATTATCAGTTCATATAAATGCAAAATAAATACTACTGAGCTCCCATCTAGGAAATTTAATGCAGACCCTTTAGACAAATATCTGTAGAAGGGGAATGCTTTTACATTCAATCAGATTTGTCCTTTATGAAATGAAGTTATTTCTAGTCAAGCTCAGCAGAATATGCAAGTGAATAGCCTGTTCAGAACACCTATTAGGAAAATCATTCTATCTTTTGTAAATACAATTTCCTTCCCAATTCTACTTCATGTAATCTCCTCTCTGCTGCATAAAGTCCCATTCTTATCAGTAGAATGCAATGCCAGTTGAAATTTTTGAAGTTTCATCACCTCCTCCCTGTTTTGTATAATCCAAATGTATACTCTCTCTGCTTATCAAAAAGAAAATTGCTGGAATTAAGTGATAACTTCAATGGACTTGAAATTGCCATGTCTTGAAAATTATTTTTCAAGAGCTTTTCCCAAAGTTGACCTTTGTGACAAACATAGCAATACACCCCAGCTTACATCCCTGCTGGCCGCATTATTGGAGGTCACCTTGTATTTATTGACAGATGTACAAATAAATTCCATTTGCTGAATGGATAAAACAGCACTACACTGCCAAAAAAGTACTTAACTGCTTTGTTTCTGTTATAGCCGAGCTGATTACATTTCTATGCCTCTTGCCACTTCCTGTTAAATCCTCTGTAAAATATCAAGGCAAAAGCCAAGTAGGCAATAAAATCTGAAATCTGGCATTGTAAACATACTTATTTTAAAATCTGCCCCAGTTTAAGGGACTTAAAAATCAGTGTCATACTAAATAATCAATGAGTGAAGAAAACTCCTCTATTCTAGAACTTACTACATCTCTCTAGAACTTTCATTACATTTTATGTTATTTTCCTGTCTGTTCCTTACAATAAAAATGTACATACCATTCAAAAGAGCAAGGTTAGCCAAATATTAACCAAACTGCACGTTTGCATATACTTAAAAAAAAAAAAAACCCACACACAAAATTAGCATCCTGTGTTTATTCTTGTAAGTATCTGAACAGAAAAAAAACTAAAATTTCAGATTGCTGCCATCAATTTTCACTATACCAAAAAGCCAGTTTGCCTGAATATATTGTTCATATTTTGAGAAGTAATGACCAGAAAGCCTACATATCAGCTGAAATACTTGTAGTATTTTGTTTTATAGCAGTCAGGCTTTTCTAAATTGAATTTTTCAAGATAAAGTCAAACTAATTCAAATCCATTCATAAATTTCTTAGGCTTTCGTGATGTTATTCTTCATTGAAAATTTTAACACAAATTATTGAATAAATAAGCATCTTCAGGTGTATATGCATTTAGAGCCTGAGGGTCTTAACCAAATAAACCAAAAAAAACCCAAATAAACCAGAAAAACCCAACCCCCCCCAAAAACAAATAAACCCCCAAAAACCAAATAACCCCCCCCAAAAGACAAATAACCCCCCCACACAAAAAACAAATAAACCTCCCCCCCAAAACAAATAAAAAGTTTCATAAGCAAGAACTTCTGACTCTAAGGCCCAAAAGCTAAAGTTCTCTTGAAAAAAAAAAAAAAAAAATCAATTAAAGGCTAGTCAAAAAAAAATAAAAAAAGAGGTTAATTTTTCAATTCCAGACCATAAACCATAAGTGCTTGTTGTGCCTATGATGTCTATGGCGTCAATATGCAACTATCCTAAACAGGGATAAAGTCAAGAACTGATCAAAGCCAGCTTTTGATTTACTACCCCACAGTAATTCACAAATGAAACTATTGCTGTGTCTTCCTCCACTTCAGTGGGAAAATGGGAACTTCAAGTGACATTTCAGAAAAGGCACCACTCACACAGCACAGGTGATGACAGAATAAAAGGGGCACTTATAAATAAACTCTAGCATTGCAAGAGCCCTTCTTCTGCATAAATTATTATGAAAACTAGGCCTATTTAAGCCTTTGATCAACCTTACATTATTCTTAATCTATCTTTCGATAAAGCTTGCCCCATCTTGAAGGGGAAGAGTACTTCACTGAATTGATACTGCTGGATGATACGATCATCCAGCCTTGAAGAACTTCCAAATAACACATTTGTTCTCTTAAGAATTTACAGTGCCTCAATCTTTATTGTTCAGTTCTGCTGCAGTTTCACCAAGAAACTGCTAATCACTCTGCCAAGATTCCTTCTCAGACCTCTCAGAGACTGGTGTTATGGCACCACACAGGTTTTACAGCTGTATTACGAATAAAGCATCAACTGTGAAGCATAATTTCTAAGAGAGAAACTCTACTGGCACTCTCTCCAGTGAATTGGTTCTTCAAAGTGTTTCTTGACTCGATGCTGACAGCATGATATAGGCATGGACATGTGGCACAGATATGACACAGGGCAGATTTCAGGACAGAACAGACCAGAACTCAGCTTTGGCTAGTTAGGCAATTCCAATCAAATTTAACTGATGGAGAGGTCTTTCTCCACCTTCATTAAGGGTTATGGTAGGTTGAAAAAGACGAACCAACATTTGTGACTCTTGCAGGGAAAAAGTGGTGCAGTTCCTTACAGGCAGCAGCAAAGCCAGCAACCAATACGCAGGGTAACCAGCAAATATGCAGTTCCAACCAGCCACACCACATGAGACCCAACTCTCTCTCTCCCCAGGCTATAATGGAATTGAACAGGTTTAGTAGATTAACTGATTTAATAAAATCAGCTGTTTGGGGACCAAATTAGGAAAAGAAACACAAAAAGAACTGTCATAGAATTGAGTCCAGCTAGAAGGGGATTCTCTGCATAAGAGAATCAGAAACTGTCCTATATTTAAATAGGAGGGAATTATCATTCATAATAAACATCACTTAGCATTCCTACTACCTTCGTGCTTAAAATGAAAGCACACGCTTGTAGCTGTTTTTCCATGAGTGTTACGCAGAAACAAATTTCCACTCAAAACTACCTTAATTCATAGCAGCAGTTTCCTCTCTACATACTCAGACATTTGCACTAAATTGCTTTATGATGCAAGAGGACAAATCTGCTGGAGAGGTACCCTTTCTGTTAATTCTTATGTGCTTTTTTCTTTCACTGCCATCTGCAACTTGCTTTTCCGATTTTGCTTTACTGACTACTAATGAGGTTAAGATGGTGTTTGGCAGCTGTGCACAGCCACCTGCTTTCTAGATCTTCAACTTATATAGCTAAGATGTTGCCTAGCTGGATAGTTTGAGCTCTGTAATTACCTATCGTTATTTTCACTTATTCAAGGTTAGTTTATTTTATGGAAAACTGCTGGATTACCTTCTATTTTCACAGAGTCTTCCTACTACAGATTTACTTAACTGTGACTCTAACCTTCATTTTATTTCAAAGGTGACTGAAGGAAGTGACTGAGGTGCAACTTCTGGAACACATCCGAGGCTCCCCCAACCCTGTTAGAAAGTTACATTTATTTTTCAGTGACTTTTTTTTAACTGACTAATCCTGAATAAGCTTACAACCACTTATTTCAAAAGAGAGTCATACCCATTATTACACCCTGCCCTAAAAAGGAACCGCCAAGACAAAACCAGGACTGCTGTCAAGTAGGTAAGGAAACATATAAAATATATCAAAACCAAAAGCTAAGTTACAAAATATGACTGAAGTATTTATGTCTTAAATTATAGCACAGCAGTTTTAGGAACAATGAGATGAAACATTCATACTTCATATGTTCTAATTCTTTCTTCTTTTCCCTGGTTACTCACCCTTGAAGTGAATGCTTATCCCTGTGACTACTCCTGTATGTATTTTCTTATCATTTCCCTGCCAAACAGAAAACTCAGAAGCAGTTTAACCCACCATAAATGGATGCAACTGATATATAGAGACTGGTCCTCCCCCTTCTTAGGGGCCCTTATTCCTGCCATCTCTGCTCTGATTACAGTCTGAAAATGAATCTCCATCGTCCTTGCACTTTCCCAGGCTGGGATCCTACAGCTGGATCCGTTCTTTGATCCATTTTACCATACAACCATGGGGCCAGCAGCGGGCAACAAATGCAAACTCAACAGGCAGAGAAGAAGGCAGGGAAGACACAACAACTTTCTTGCTGCAACATCCAGTCACACTCATCAACTGCTCAAGGAAATGCCCAAAACTGAATATTCCAAAACTAATATAATTCACCTCTACCTCTCCTTTTCGTCTCATCTTATTCTAAAAGGCATATTATTGAATAAGCAATAGCACTCAACCATACATTTCTATTACATCCTTATTGTGATTCAAATATTAAATGCAAACTTTAAGTTCTTTTCCAGTTTAACCTTTAACAGTTTTCAATTGACTGCCTACCTATTATGTTTTCCACTGTTCTATATAATATAAAATGCATGTGCATATTCTGAAAGATGTGTTTTCTTTCAACCTCTTAAAAAACAACTCTGCTTTTCAATATTTCTGTGTACTTCTTGCATTCTCAAGGCTTCTCTCTCATGTTGTTCACTTGTTTCAGTGCCACAAGCCAGTTGATCAGCCTGAAAGTTCGAAACTTTTTCCTGCC